ATCGCTTTCGCGTTTATAAACTACAAGATTCTAATTCTTGTAGAAAGGATTTATTATTATAAGTCATGACTGAATATTATGATATTTCGAGATTACTTGGTTTTCGCTCGTGATAAATGCAAAAACTGTTTTCTCAGCTGATTTTCACTACAGGGTAAGCTTCTGTAATCTAGATCAATAGATTGACTTCTGTGATAATGAAATGAATAGAGATCGCTATTAGAAATAATTGCTAAAAATATCGTTAGCGATTTACCTTTTGGTAAAATGCTTAATAACCAAACCATAAAAATAACGTAATGAATCGATTTGGTATTCAATAGGGTTTTAGTTATGGCAATACATAAATAATATAAAGTTACTGACTTGTAGAGCTAAAGCAAAACGCGATGGAATAAAAAATATTTATCAAACAAAGAATGGCAACGTAACCCTAGGTATATCCTGTCTATGAATTGTTTCTTAAGTGGAAATAGATTGCATAAAATAGATGATATTACCGACATGTTATATATCTCAACTTAACGCAAATTTAAGTTCGGTCTCTGTATCAAAGACTAGATGCTTTATAGCTAATATGAATAAAAAGTTCAAGCTTTAAAGCCACTTTATCTCATTCAGGCTATCCGCTAAAAATAGTTTAAGCAAGTCCCTTTATTAATTTATAAGTTATAGATTAATCATTATGTATACAATTATTCTAGAAAGATAGATATCAATTCATTGCGATATTTTTTAAGTTGTCACAATAGCTATTATACAATGTTGTATAAGCAAGTACTTGCGTACAATATAGTTAAAGTCGATATCACGATACGCGCTTAGCTTAGTTGTTATGAAGGTAAGGCATTTTAATGAAGCTGTTAAATAGATGAAAAGGCTCGAGAAAATCTGACCTAAATATAATCGGCTTCATTTTTTCAATAATATTTTAAGGCAGCTATATTCATAATATTTAGATAAACTAAAGCTATCGCATTTTTGTCACAAATCAGCTTCGTGACAAGGATAACGTAAAATAAATCTCTAAATCTCTATAGTCTCTGGGATTCAGTATCCCTGAACTATCTCACAAGAATTTAGACGCCTTTGATTCTACGTTAAACTCAACTAGACAATTGAGAACTACTATATTCAACTGTCTGACGGGTATATATACCCTTCTACAGCAACTAACAATCATGAGTCATCTTATAAAAATACTTAGGTGAGAACATCTACTAACTAATTGTTCTCAGTCGGACTACAATATGTCCATTCACAGAATCGTTTCAGTGCACATTACAGCACAACATTAAATTTCCTGTAACACATTTATAATTAGAGTAATTCCTACGGTAAGTAACTAGTTGTAATATATTATCACTATATTATATTAACCAAATTTAGATAGCTATTTCTTCACGGTAGTTCGTACCGCGACACATTTACAAAAGATCCAAAGAATGTTAAAATTGATGATAGAGTGTAGAAAGCTTTACATGTGTTTAACATCTATTAGAAGTGGTAAAGATGCAATCTTGTTTATTGTATATTATTACCTAGTCGTATTTCGTATAAATCAATAAGTTGCTGGAATATATGCTGGAAATTATTCAATACCTACTTGCATATATGATGTATATCGTTAGGAAATATGTAGGTTGCATAATATTCTAAAATCATTTTAGAGATGGTCAGCTGATTAAACAATTATTTACGTGCCAGGTATAACTATTTCTGACTATTATTAAAATTATTTATTATTATTATTATAATAATAATAATGATTAAAATTATTTTATCATAGTATTACTATAATACGGCTTTTGAAGTTTAATAAAGTTACTGAACCTCTGACAGGTCTACGACAAATGGTAATACTATCTGTTAAATGAGCACATTATCGTAAACCGTTAGCAAAGCGACGGGAGTTTGTACTAGTATTTTTTAAAGAAATCTAATAGTAAATTTACCTGCGGCACATGTATAGGCAACAAAGATATCTTTCTTATATTAAACATTACATTTCGGACGGTGCAGTACAAGGTAGTCGATTAATGTTTTACCATCAGAAACTATAATGCTTTTACGTTCATTTTGTAAAAATATGCTGTATTAAATTAAGTTAAGTATTTAGAAAGAAATTTTAGAGAACACTATACTTTTACGATAATCATATAGCTTGCCCATTATTGGTCTTAATCGTTATTTTCGTACTCTTATTCGGTACCGACGCCAAACTTAATATAAATGTCTGTCAAATATTCCCTTCATCTACTTAACGGTAACTTCAAGTTTTTTCAGCATCATAGTTGTTAAATATTTAATATTTAGAAGTAAAATAGATATAAGTATGTTTTCTATTAATTGAAAAAATAAGTATCGCTGTATGGGCAAGCATATTTTTCAGCAAAGACAAACTTATTTACTTTAAGTCCGGTTTTAGAATTAGGACATTATATTCGAAATCGTTTTAAACATTGTCAGATATTTAGTTAAATCAAATTATCTGGATTTAAAGCTCGAATTAAGCTTTATTACAATAAAACCTACCGTAACTATATTTAAAACAAACTATTAACTAGAAGCACTCCCGATCTACTCGTTGCATACGCTAATAAATCCCTAGCGCATGACCTATTTAGTAATGGTAGTAACATTATTACGCTTCCACGCTCTAAGAACGGGCATTAAATTACCATATTTTACCGGGGCACGAGCAACTAATCGCATTAAACTACGCAAGTATTATAGCCTACAATAGTGCATATTAGTAATTCCATACTTGATTAAGAATTTAACACCAGTACCAAACTCACGGGACTACAGCACGATCTGCTCATCAGTACTACGTAATAATATCTAAAGGATGTTATGGGAGATACAATCATTTGGAAGGATGGAAGGTTAAAATTCGATAAAAAATTTAGAATTACCCGTGTAGAATGCTTTTAATAATTTTCTATTATTGTATATTTAAGATCAGCAGCGCTATAAGCGATAAGATGCATACGTTCATGATGATTCGTAAGCCCGTTCTGGTTTAGCAAAATTGTTGTAAATAGCGTATTGGTATTCTTTATTGACATTTTTTTGTATATCGTAAGAATAGCCTATCTCAATATACGATTTATTGTAACTATACTAAAGACTAGAATTAATGATTAATTTGATGGTATAGAATTAAACATTGTCTATGATGAAATGTTTTTAGGCTAGACAATGAGAAAATTGGCTAATATCAATATCCAAGATGGCTACTTCAAAAATTCTTATTTGGAGAATTTAAGTAATTTTATTCAAGGCCGAAATCGATCAGCAAGTATAAAGTACTAATCGTTTTTGAAAAAATATTTAAAAGTTTCAGTCAGTAGGATTATAATACATTATCATTACAATCTGAAGGTAAGAGATTGGCTTGATCTAATGGAGTCTTATTATTGTATTAGTTATGCAAGAAATAATGTGCTCTGATCGTAAATGGAAAATATACGTAGTTACCAAGAGAATAGTACAATATCTTGACTGCCATGATCACTACAGTAATTAAAAAAATAGTTCATAAATAGGCTATTATACTGTTAATAAATAGCGCAAATGTGTTAATATTCCCACAGGCTGTTCTGAGTATCAATAAACTAAAAACTTGATATAGTACTTATTGTACTAACGATGATTTCTTCAAAACAACAAGATATACTGTAAAAAAATTAACTTGCCATTCTGATCTGCTTTCATACAGATAATTTATATGATTAACACCTTGGCTACTAAAAAGAAGGGAATAATTGTATACCTAGTTATCACTTTAAAACGCTTAATGGTTCAATTATTTATACCCGTACCAGATGATAAAAATTTTTCGAATGAAATTAGGTGTACGTACTTACATTAAATACTAAAGTTACTATCCATTGTCTCTATATTTAGTAAGATTATCCATATTTCAATATTTCAATAATTATACTGATGACCATTTCAGGTATGTAATAAATCAAACATCCTTAGAATTGAATTTTTTGATATGAACTCTTATCTTAAAAGGTGAGAGAATTTATTGCCAACATACTATTATATATTATACAAGCCTCTACAGATTCAATGTTTGTTTTAACATTTGTAGAAATGAGTTGAAGGCGATTAAGTAAATGATTGATAATGGATAGTTTATGTAGAAAGAATTTTGATTATAATTAAATTCCTTATATAATAATAACATCACGAGCTACTCATAATAAGATTCTATATATATAAAAGTAAAATTTTTATTTAGTATTTAGTCTAAAACTAAAATTAGGTCTTGAATTTTGATCGAGGAAATTACTACATTTAGGTCAGTTTTCAATTCTTTGATAGAATACTAGCTTCAAGAAGGAAAAGCGATAGCAAACTTTACTGACCCTTGAAATAATTTTGAAATCTGGTTAATCTAATAACGGATGTTCATCTGTGAAATCTTCAAAGTCTGATCTTTTAATAGTAAACGCATTATGTATTTGTTACGGAGCATAGCACCGTACTTGCTAATTAAATAGATTTTGTTAGTGTTTAGCTAATTGATCATATTGGCAATTGATAATTGAAATAAAGAATATTAATAATGTCTATAAATCATGTAAATCTTATATTGTCAAGTTACTATGCGAGTACTACAAATTTAGCGGAAGGGTATAAAAGGACGAGCGAATGCTTAGTTCCTGAGTTCTTTATTAGATCGTGTACGAGAAGGTACTCGGCTACTCTATTAATAAAACTATGCTAATCTTTTAGAACAATCTTATCCTGTGTGACCGTAAGTAGTATAGAACTACCACACAGTAGATCTCCAGGTGTAGTGAAGCAAGGCATAAGTAATGTCTTAGTTTAGTATAGTAGTTCGCAACATAAGTTTGTGACGGTATTCCAATTGAGCTTTTCAAGCCATGTTACCTACTCATGAAATACTTCAATTTTGATTGTTTGATTTCTTAATATATGAAGATTTAATGTTAGCAGACGATGCACGTAATAGGGTTTTTCTATCTTGGTGTAGCAGACGTCCATGGTTGAATACGGTTAGAATGTAAAAGCCCGCAAAATCGCTTGCGTATAAAACTATTTGTCGTTGCATAGATAACTGGGTTAATAGCAGAATTACTGAAAATTAATATTACAGATATAATGTTCGCAAAAGTTGGACGATAAACTGGTACTACATCGCGGTTGATATAAGCAACACTTCGAATACCAATAATGACATAGGGCAACCAACAGACTAAGTTTGTTCCAATAATCATTGAAGTTGTGCGAATTGACTTTTTTAAGTTGCCACGGGCCAAATCTTGTGCTGATTTTTGATAAGCAATCATAAAAAATAATGATATAACATATAATAATAATAGATATAGTAATGGCTATAAATGCCATCATGATCCAATAGATGATATAATTTTCATGATAATTATGAAATGAAATAGCACAAACAACTAGAAGAAAATATCTGCCTAAGCCATATTGCTCTAAACCAAGTAACGGTATCGCTGCTAATATACAGGGAATAAACCATATACCAATTGTGGTTGCGGCACTTTAATTTACGCTAACGGATGACTGATAACCAAACGGATTAATAACTGCATTGCAACGATCAATGCTAACTGCAGATGTTGCTATCAGGGAAGCCATATAGAGAAAAACTAGAATGAAGCCTTGAATCTGGCAAAAAGCAAATCCAGGATCACCAATAATAGCTGCTATCATACCAAGTGGTAATCCTATTAAACCGTTAAGGAAATCGACGAAAGATAAGTTTAAAATGAGTAAATTGTTCATATTATGCAATGCTGGCGATTTTTAAATGAAAACTAAATTAAATAAATTACAAGTTATAGCTATTAGACTAATGAAAACTGAAAATATGATTAAGATGATAAATTTTGCATCGCTATGCCTAAAGCCAGGCCTTTCTGTCCGGGTAGTTATGTTGCCATCATATTCAGTTGGATACCAATTCCAACTGATTGTAATAGATGATAAGATTGTTGTCATCGCGGCGAAAATAGTGTTAAAGCTACGATTATTTTAACGCCAATGCTGCCACCAATTTTAGGATATACGTTTTTCTCTTAATGATAATGGACAGTTTTGCGATTCTGATTTTTATTTTAAGCAAGCCGTATCATGATTTAGTATTGCATATTAATCCCAAATGTAAATTAATCGTTTAGGCTAAAAATGATTTGTAGTAAATTGAAATAAAGATGAAATCATTTTCAATAAGATTGAAGGTTAATGTAACGCCTGGTTTTTGATATCCAAGTCAACTCTTAGAAATGCAATAAATATGTAATCGCTCAAGTATAAATAAATGCAAAACAATGAAGTTCAGTTTTCCTTCTCTTAAACAAGTAGAAATCTTCAAATTTTTTCGAAATTATGAGAATTATTAATTGATTTTGAATTTTAAGATATTTATATTGTATACTCGACAGGAAATTAGCTACTAACTTAATAATTTAGCTTTCATTCATTATAAATGGATTATTAAAGACAATAGCATATTTAAGCAGCTGTGAAAGATTTTAATTATCATTGAAAATTAAGTATTTTAAGAAAAGATAATATTATGTTCCTGTTATTAGCATAATAGTGCAATGCTAGGTTTAGTATTTGAAGAAAGGAGTTCATTTAAAATATGTTGACTGATTAACAATATCTATTCATGATATCTAAATCATTCATAATAGTTTTTGTTAATGTTGAAGATAATAAAAATATCATGTTAATAGCACTACTGATTATTTCAATGAGTCATTTTATAGATGGAAGGAATAATAATATAATTTACTTGCTTTGGCAATACTGTTAGGCCCAGACTATGTATAAATAATGTTATTGTTTTAATGAGTATTCCGTAATTGCATATGCTGTTCTTCATATCATAAGGTAGTTAACTTAATTAAAATGAAAATTTAGCGTTAAAAAGTTCTAGCTTGGTATTACTTAGAGTAACCTCAATGTCTCAAATATGTAAACTAGCTTTTAATTAAGCTTCTTGATGAAGATATTGGTTCAAGTTAAAAAATCTGATTAATGTCAATTTCTGTTCAACAATTTTAAAGAAACCACTACATTTTAATATAATTCCAGAACTTGAGATTATTGTTAGCAAGCCTGACCGCGTATCCAACAACGGTGTAGCGATTCAATTCAATTTGAGGATGTGTTCTATTGGTGTCGGAAATAATAATAAAAATATTTATTATATATAATTCTTACATCCCGTCGAGTTTGAAGAGCTTATTCACAGCTAAAATGTCTACTTGATGTTATTAAAAATAGAAAGTACAATATTAGTGTTTGACATAAACAGATCATAAATAATTAATAGATACTAGTACAAATTCAAGTCGCTTTGCTGACGGTTTACGATAATGTACTTATTTGTTAATAATTAACAGATAGGATTACCATTCGACATTATTTATATCCCGATAATAGTCAGGCACTACTATATTCACAGCTATGCTTGTAGAATATTACTTTTCAATAATGCATTCACGGATGAAGTGCTATATTAAGATTAGTTAATAGTCCAAAGCACATTATGATAACTAATGTACGGTGATGGACATACCAAGTTAAGATTAGCAGGTACTATAAGATATCTACATTGCGGTATAATGTCCATAGTACCGTGGCCAATTCTATACAAATCATTATAATGTGTCTAAGGATCGCTTGAGTATGCAAGCAAAGCTTGTTCTGTCGATAGCAACCGTTTTAAGAAAATGTAACAATCAAAATGGTTGTGTAGAAAACTCTATAAAGATTCTATGTTTATTCAATTTCTTCAGAATATTACATGAAATCAAAATTGAAAGGCCCAGTAGCTACCCTTAGCAATATAACGAATACTATTTCAATAATCAGTACTCTGCAGAAATTACTACCTTAGAGCTATTCATTTTACATGAAGAAATCTTGAGGTAAAAAGTACTGTAAGAATCTTATACTGACCTATTGAAATCAACCCATAATCAGAGTCATCTAACAGTAGTATAAATACTCCCGCGCTGCTCGTTTCAAGGGACTGTAGGTGGGATTACATTGATAGAGTAGAAGTTTGATTAGAAAGCGTTGCCTGAAACATTATATTTCGTGTCGATAATATCATAGCGGCAAATAAAAATGAATAAGTTATAAGTGATAAATATAAAAGAGCCTTAAGCCTATTCCTTTATTAATTCATATGTGTACACTCAAGGACAATATACATCCTCTATCTTGGTATTATAATCACTTAAAGGATAGATGCCTTCCCGTGCCTTTTTATATTCCATTTAGATAGATTATTTGTATACCCTTCTAGTTTATTTTATTGTTAGGATAGCCTTCTATTAGTTTTATCTTTTCGATTGCAAATATTCAATTAACTCTAGAGAATATTTTTTATCGGGTATATTTTATCTAATACTTACTACGATTGAAAATTTATGATTTACTTGCTACATGTCATGATTCCCGAGTCAGTTCAGAAGTTAGACGAAACAATTAAAATTTCTTAGTCCAGTAGTCTTATGACGGAACAGTAAAGATAATGGTCAATATACTATACGTTATTCATCGCCGTAAATTCTTTTCTTTCGTATGCTATAAATACATTGTCTCAAATTTACAGTTACTTTTAACTCTTGCACTGTATACAGACCTTGCTGTCATTTTGTCCACCAGTTTATTTTATTGATTATAATTTAATATATACGTATATCTTTGTTGGCGCACAATATGCTTTTAAAGTTATTTAGATTATTTAATATGGAAGTCATTGATTTCATGGTATTTATGATTAAATTTTGAGTCTATAGTAAGAGTATGCATTGATTAGATCACTCCTAAGAGATCATAGGTTATCGAAAATGACTGATTCTAGGTATAGAAAAATTGATATCTTTTATTTCATTTTGGATTAAATTTCATTGAGCCTTTGTCGCAACCTGCAGCATGGCTTCGATTTTTATTGTTTGTCTTCATTCGTAGTTATAAACTGTCGATAGTCTCTTAGTTTCAATTTTTTCATTGATACTTGCTTCACTTGCATATAACGTAAATTAGCTTCTAGTTTGAAATAAAACTGAGGATTCATGGTTTATCTTTATGAAGTGCGTAATCATCATCTTGTTTCGATTATGGCAAGTCGCTGCATAGTGTAGTAAATGAGACCTAATACTATACTAGCTCTAGTCTTTCTGATTCATTTCATGCTAACCTTAAGTTGCTGACAAAGTGCGATTTAAATTGTCAAATATAAGTAGCGATTTCTGTTGACAACGAGAACGTCTTACAAGCTGATTCTACAATGGAACATGTTGGGATAAATTTTTACTTGAGATATTTCTCAATTTCTAGGCCATAGCTGAACATATAGTATACTGGACGTTTAAATAGCTAAATAATAGTCGGTAGTTATGGTAATTTCCATCGAAATACCATCGACTATTTCATATTTCTTCCAAATACAGAGTATAGTTGGATTCGTGTATTAGTATCTTACGCTATTCCTGTTGCGATAATTTTTCGATGTAATTCGGCGCCACCTTTAGCGAATATCGATATTATATTTATTCAAATTTACCTTTAAATACCGTACATTATTTTAAAGATGTTTATTAAATGATGGATTGAAGTGTAGACAAGTGATATTCTCGTTTGTATGCAAAATAGTCGTTGCTCTTTCATTAACGAAATCAAGCCTTCCTATCAATACTTATTATTACATTCTTAGATATTGTCTCCAGAAATTCGTTCAGGAATTTATTTGCAAGTAGAAATTAGATTGTCTAGGGCTTGCATTTCGAAACTGGTAGCATCCACGGCAGCATAACTCATTTCTATGACGATAAAAGTGTGAGGAGTCTAAAATACCAGCCCAAGTAGCGAAATAATGACCGCAGAATAAATTATTTTAAGTACAATCCTTTCTTTTACTCAAATAAAATCTAATATTATGATTTATCATAGAAATTAAGGGAGAGAATAAGAGGAATGTAAAATTATTATCTTTCTCCCTATTTCATTTTAGTGGTGGTATTGTCATGCTATGTTTTAAACTGCAATTTTGCATGTCTTCATGATAAATGGGCCCAAAATAATGCACGCACACTGCACAACTTATAGGAAATTTATAAAATCAGACATGCCATATTGTATGCTTAGTTACCATCTTCAATATTCGAAGCGATTATCTGGTTTTTATATAAGTAATATATTAGATCCATGAAAAGCTCTAAATTCGAATAAAATAAAATATTCGATCGCGAAGGTTAATTAACTTTACGATGTATTCAATTATGTGATAGTATTCGGCACTTTCTCAAAGATCAGTGCTCTACCATATAGTACATTGCAGATTTCA